TTTGAGCTTGTCTCCACTTTTCAATAGATTTATCATAAGAAATCAGGAGTCCGCTGTCAATTCACAAGATTAGCATGAAAGAATGTGCTTGTAGCTGTAACTGTTGGAATTCAATCCAGAAGTACAAGGCTAAGAGTGATATTTGTGAGGTGAAGGCTCATGTCAATAAACAGACAGATACATTGCAGCAGCCATTGGATGTTTCCACTTGCTTCTTTTGTCTGAAATGCTGGATCTGTACCAACAAGGCCAAGCAAAACTAACAAAGGTCAGATCAAAGGAATGGAGCAACTGGCCTTTTTCAGAGCCTCTAATTGACAGAGAAGAAAGGAAGCTCTCAACTGGTTTGAACTGTCAACGGGAGTATTCACATAGAATTAATTGCTTCCAGAGGTAGCACTGTATAGTTGCATTGTATAAGCGCCTGGTTCAGTGCAAATCATCTCCTTGTAATAATAAAATGCCTTTTACTGTCTGCTTTCCAGGTGGCAATAGTGCAAGACCAATACCAAGTAATTAAACTCCTCTTGTCTCAGGCTCTGGGGAAAAGGGGGATTGTAGCGATGCCGCTCTCTGTCATGGATCATTTCATAAAGACTAATATTAGCTATTCTAAAACCAAGTGAGCTGCCTACTTAGAAAGCATTTTAAGGCATCATAGATATGCTTCTGATGTGAAGAACCTGAACCTTGTAAGATAACTAATTTTGGCCAAATTTGAAGGCAGCAATGCATAAATCCAAGACAGCAGCTGATTCGAAGACATATTGATGATACATATACTTAACTTCATTCAATACTTACATTTTTTTCACCCTATTTTTTATGTCTACCAGTAAAGAAATAGTTTATAAACAAAGAAACAAACTGTATAATTTGTAAATCTTGTGCACTTTGTGAGAGGAGTGGTATTTGTACGGTGGTTTCATTTCAGTTAGGAGGCAGTAGACAACAACATTTTAGAGCAATGATATCGACTTTCTGATCCCATGACTGATATGTAAATGTATGCACATATATTGCAAGTTAACTAGTGTTTAAAAGGCAAAACAAATCTTTGTATTGAAATGATCTTAAATATTAAAGTATGCAATGCAGTGCATCTCTCTCTGTTTTACTTTCACTGTTCTTAGGATCTGCTCAGAAAATGAGCTGAATTGTGTTGTATTTGTCTCATTCACCAGCAGGGGGCGATTTGGAAAATAAAACAATGAACATCATTCCAGGAGTTTGTCAAAACAAAACCTTCTACAATTACTCTTTAACGTCAACTAGTATTATATTACACTATAGGCACACTTTAAAAGAGCTTTTTATTACTTTGCGAAAGAAAATGCTCAGTGAGAGTTAGCACCTATGAGTCACGACTCATATCTTCCAATTATGGCATAAACAACACATTAACACATACTTTTTTGACAGGCGCCAGCATATTTTATGCATAAATTATACTGTTTTAAATTATTGTTAGCAGATAGAAAATGCACATAATATATAAGTCAAATGGCCCCAATAAAAGACGTAATACTAAATGCATATTGCTAACAAGCACAATGCATAACACAACAAACTCCACATACATTAAAAACACAGTGACTGTTAATTAAAACTGATTCACTAACTCTCTTTTCATATTTTCAAACATAGCTTCTCAGAGAGCCACCAAAAAAAGGAACATTTTATGAATTCAAAATCAAGTTAAAGCCCTGTGGTTTCACTGGATAATTGCTAATCGTCAGGAAATGACCAGACACTGAAAAGCAGAGCTGTGTGTGTGCGTGAATGATATCAGTGTATGCTCTCTGCTCTACTATGCGTGTAGTGGCTCTCATGTAGAATGACCTGCAGTACTGTTACCAGAAGAGTGTTAAAGTACAGCTCTTGAGCTGCCTGGCCTCACAGTATGTGTGTTATGTGTGTCCGACTCACACTGCAGCACGCTATTGAGGACGCCATCAGTCTTTGATTGGGCACTTATCGATCTGAGAGTGTGACCTGTGTGGATTGCTGTAGCCTCTGTCACGCCCTCTCTCCAGGAAACGACCCGCATCTACTGCAGCACATGAATACATAACTCACAAAACTCAGTGGATTATGTACACAAACACACACACCAGTATTGGAGAAGTATCATATCAGGCCAAAAAGACAAAGTCAGAGAGAGAGTTTGTACAGACAAAAGAACGAAAGCTATATATGTGTGTGTGTGTGTGTGTGTGTGTGTGTGTGTGTGTGTGTGTGTGTGTGTGTGTGTGTGACCCTGACTGTGAAATCCCAGAATCCCAGTCAATTAAGGGTCAAAACCTAATCTGAAAACTGAATAAATGAGCTTTCCATTGATGTATGGTTTGTTAGGATCAGACAATATTTGAAAATCTGGAATCTGAGGGTGCAAAAAAATCTAAATATTGAGAAAATCATCTTTAAAGTTGTTCAGATGAAGTTCTTAGCAATGCATATTACTAATCAAACATTAAGTTTTGATATATTTACGGTAGGA